CCGCACAGTCCCGTTTCGGTACTGGAAACAAGCGAGAAACCCACCTGAGGAACTTAGTCGTTTCAATCACGCCCAAGCACACCCACTCCAAGATGACCCAACGAAGTAAAGGTGAAAAAGCCTGCTCCGCCAGCCCCAGATCTCCCAGAGAAGGAGCTGCCACCCAACGCCATCACAGGCCAGAAGACATGACCCGAAACGCCTATGAATCGTGGGACCAAGTGTGGGCAAACAGAGCCAATTCAGATTCCAAGGAGAGAGCAAGGACGGCCTGATGACATGCGAGGTGAGGCAAAAATACAGACACCACTTCCCAGAGGATTGGTGCAAACAGCTTCAACACCTCAGCCGATGGGCAGCACCCCAGTCGACAGCCCGGCACTCAACACCTCCACATCCTCTGTAAGCCAGTCTGAGAACAACTAAAGAAGGGAAAAAGAAGTGCAAGAATGAGGCCACATGCCCACGAGCGCAAAAATCCTCTGCCACCAAAGCAGCCAAAACGGAGGGAACCTGCGCATGCAGCTGCAGACGGCCAACATCACGAGGAAGCACAGGGGCAAAAAGGCACGCATTGAGGTGCTCAAATTCACCCCCCCCCTCCCCCAAGTAAACCTGTAGAACCATAGTAACCTCCCACCATTCAAGCAAGCAAGTCCGACAAAACCCGTGCAATGCTCCCTGGGAAAAGAAAGGGCAGTCTGCCAGCCAGGAAGATTCCGGAACCTCAATGCACCCAATAAAGAGAAGAACCTAACGTAAACGAGGATGGATCCATCATAGAGGCGAAATCCGGATCACACAGGAGGTATGCAGCAAAGACCTCCTGTACTTCCTTTTGTCGGGGGTGGGGGTGGGTTTTCCCAAGTAAACAAATCTGAGCCAACCCAACCAGCAAAGTCGGGAAAGGGGGGGGGGGGGGGAAAGGCCAACCCCAAATCAAATTTGTACAAGGAAGGGGTACCTACCTTGAGGCTACCTTGAGGTGCTTCCGGGGCTTAGTGTCCCCGCGGCCCGGTCGTCGACCAGGCCTCCTGGTTGCTGGACTGATCAACCAGGCTGTTAGACGCGGCTGCTCGCAGCCTGACGTATGAGTCACAGCCTGGTTGATCAGGTATCCTTTGGAGGTGCTTATCCAGTTCTCTCTTGAACACTGTGAGGGGTTTGCCAGTTATGCCCCTTATGTGTAGTGGAAGCGTGTTGAACAGTCTCGGGCCTCTGATGTTGATAGAGTTCTCTCTCAGAGTACCTGTTGCACCTCTGCTTTTCAACGGGGGTATTCTGCACATCCTGCCATGTCTTCTGGTCTCATGTGGTGTTATTTCTGTGTGCAGGTTTGGGACCAGCCCCTCAATTATTTTCCACGTGTAAATTATTATGTATCTCTCCCGCCTGCGCTCAAGGGAGTACAGATTTAGGCTCTTTAGTCGGTCCCAGTAATTTAGATGTTTTACTGAGTGGATTCTAGCAGTAAAGGATCTCTGCACGCTCTCTAGGTCAGCAATTTCTCCAGCTTTGAAAGGGGCTGTCATTGTGCAGCAGTACTCCACTCTAGATAGCACAAGCGTTTTGAAAAGTATCATCATCGGTATAGCATCTCTAGTGTGAAAAGTTCTTGTTATCCAACCTGTCATTTTTCTTGCAGTTGTGACGGCTACTTTATTGTGTTCTTTAAAGGTAAGGTCTTCCGACATGAGTACACCCAGGTCCTTTACATTGCCTTTTCGTTCTATGTTATGATTTGCCTGCGTTTTGTACGTGGTTCCTGTTTTTATGTTTTCAATTTTTCCGTAGCGCATGAGCTGAAACTTATCCTCGTTGAATACCATATTATTTTCTGTAGCCCATAGAAAGACCTGATCAACATCTGATTGGAGGTTTGCCGTGTCCTCTATGTTGCCAACTCTCATGAAAATCCTAGTGTCATCTGCAAAGGATGATACAGTGCTATAGGTTGTGTTCTGGTCTATGTCCGATATGAGGATGAGAAAAAGTACTGGAGCAAGCACAGTACCCTGGGGGACTGAGCTCTTCACGGTTGATGGGCTGGATTTTATTTTGTTGACTATTACACATTGGGTTCTGTCAGTCAGGAAATTGTAGATCCATCTGCCTATTTTCCCGGTAATTCCTTTTGAACGCATTTTATGTGCAATAACACCATGGTCACATTTATCAAAAGCTTTTGCGAAATCTGTGTAAATTACATCAGCGTTTTGTTTGTCTTCCATAGCATCTAATGCCATATCATAGTGGTCCAGCAACTGCGACAGGCAAGAGCGCCCTGTTCTGAAACCATGTTGTCCGGGGTTATGGAGATGCTGTGATTCCATGTATTTTGTGATCTTACTTCTTAGCACTCTCTCAAAAATTTTTATGATGTGCGATGTTAGTGCTATCGGTCTGTAATTTTTTGCCTCTGCCTTATTTCCTCCTTTATGGAGTGGTGCTATCTCTGCTGTTTTTAGTATGTCAGGGATAACGCCAGTATCTAGGCTTTGTCTCCACAGAATGTGAAGGGCCTGCGATAGTGGTTTTTTACAGTTCTTGATGAATATGGAGTTCCAAGAATCCGGGCCTGGTGCAGAGTGCATAGGCATACTGTTTATGGCTTCTTCAAAATCTAGTGGGGATAGGGCGACGTCTGATATGTGATTTGATGTTGGTATCATATCCATGAAAAATTCATTTGGGTTATCAATCTTTAGTGCATTTAATGGCTCACTGAAAACAGAGTCGTACTGCTTCCTCAGTAACTCGCTCATTTCTTTGTTGTCATCTGTGAAAGTTCCATCTCCCTTTCGCAGGGGCCCGATACTAGATGTGGTTTTTGATCTTGATTTTGCATAGGAGAAAAAATATTTCGGATTTCTCTCTATTTCACTGATGGCCTTTTGCTCTCTTTGCCTCTCCTGGGTTTTGTATGATTCTTGTAGCTTGAGTTCAATTGTTTCTATTTCTCTACCTAACCTTTTTCGCCGTTCTTGAGATAGGGTGCGACTCTCAAGTTGTTCCGCGATTCGTTTTCTTCGCCTATATAAGGAACGACGTTCCCGTTCCAATCTGCATCTCTTTCTCTTTTTTCTTAGGGGTATGCGGTTTGAACATATTTCTAGTGCTACTGAGCTTATTTTTTCCAGGCACTGGTTCAGGTTTGCATTTCCTAGCTGTTCTTCCCAGTTTATTTCTGTGAAGTCCTGGTTTATTTGCTCCCAGTTTATCCGTTTATTATTGAAGTTGAATTTGCTGAAATCTCCTCCACCGGGAATCTGGACTGGTTTTGGAGGTCCATTCCCCATGGTTGTCAGTACCTCAATTAAGTTGTGATCTGAGTAACAGGTATTTGTAATCATTATGTTCCCGATCAACTCATCATTATTAGTGAAAATGAGGTCCAGCGTGTTCTCCTTCCTAGTTGGTTCTACTATTTGCTGGTTTAAGGCAAACCTATCGCACATCCGTAGCAGGTCATTTGCATGTGCCTGCTCATTTAGGCTACTTCCTGGTATTCTTTCTGATATTACTGTATTAGCCAGGTGCTTCCATTTCAGGTGCCGTAGGTTGAAGTCCCCAAGCAGGATGATGTTCGGAGCTGGATTTGTGAGGTTTTCCAAGCAGTGCTCTATTTTCATTAGTTGGTCTTTAAACTGCTGAGGGTTTGCCTCCGGTGACTTATATACAAGGACAACAACTACATTTAGGATCTCTATTTTGACTATCAGCACTTCCACCATATCATTTGAGGTGTTTAGCAGCTCAGTACAGATGAGTGTCTCTTTGATGTAGAGGCTGACCCCACCCTGAAGCCGGTGTTTCCTATCACATCTGAAGAGATTGTATTCTGGGATACATATTTCACCATCAAGGTAGTCCTTTGTGGTACACAAGGTGTGGGGTACACAAAAACCCCACACCCTGTAACAACAAATCCCATGACGAGGGCACCAAAACCCGAGCAGGATTAAAGGGGGTCCAAGACCCGCAGGTTAACTCACCCCAAGCCCCCGGAGCCTCTGAACCAGGCTCTGGACCAGAAGCCTCAACAGGAGGAACAGGTTCGAATGCCTCCATCTCCACTGTGAATGGGGCAACCCCAGGAGCCGACCGAGTCTCATCACCAACTAAACCCTGCCCCGACTCAAACCCTCAGACGTTTGGGAGCCGGCAGCAGGGGATGAAGAGCAGGGTAAACCACGCCAACTGGGAAAGGACTTGAAGGTGCGGACTGAACCAAGGTCAAAGCGACCATGTGAAGTTTACTGCTACCCAATGGAATGGGACAGCATACCTTTAAACTGTTTTTAACAGTGTTAATTGGCATTCCTTATTTTCTTAATTAGTTCTTGCAGAGGGCGTTGAAGCTTTTTGGCTTTATAGCAAGCTGATCCCTCAGTGGTAGCTCTAGATGACTCTCGCCACAGCCTTTCTGCTTCATTTTCCCTTGCAAGTCCATTTGCAATGATACTTATTGCTTGATGAATAAGTTCAAAAGAGCCATATAGAAACATGAGAACTGGAGGAATGAACTGAATTAATCCAGAAGCAGCTGAGGGAACTTAACTCAGAGAATTGGAATCATTTCCAATAACTTATTTGAGCTCAACTGCCCTCTATTAAAAGCAGAGGTAACACTTAATAACCTGTTATATGTTGTCCACAACATCATACATCAGTCTCTGCATGGCTAAATTTCCATAAACAAAATGTACTGAATATAACAAACCCCATAGACTGAATTAAAGGGTATATTACAGATGAAGGTACCGGGAGAAGTATAATAATGATTTACAAAATGTAAACTGTAAATTACTCTTGTAGACAGAGAAAGAATGATGGCACATGATGCAGTCATAAGGAGTGTGTGAGAAGTATATGTTACAGACATATATTCATCCACCTCAGGTTAAGTAATATGCCCGAGGTCCACCAGTGCCACCTAACACCATGGGATGATACTAGCTCAATAAGTTGCATCATCAGTGTTATATATTCATTATTACCTTGTTAATGCTTCAGTTTGTTTAATATTGAAGGCTATCTCTTGTTGCAACATTTGTTGCTTCAGTTGTTCTGCTTCAAGTTGCCGTCTTGACAATTCTTTCAATATTTCACTCTGCAGCAAATAGAAAATATATAAAAAATAAAAGTTTAAAAGAAATACATCAAGCAAACATATACAGCAAAAGGGAAATAATAAATGAGATAAATCGTAGTATGAAGACTCCAAGCTGAGAGGCAAACAGAGGTCGGAGCTGTGAGCAGATGGGACCACCACTGACCAACGACATGGGCTCAGGGCTTCAAACGTGCACACACGGGTACACCTGGGGTAGATCTGAAGAGGCATCACAAAAAATGAAGGCTAAGCAAAATTAAAATCACCCACACCTCTGAAATGACTTACCGAACAAGGTCTTGTTGAAAGAGGCTCTCCATTTCTGCTTTCAGATTTTCCAGTTCTTGTTGAATCCGTTCCTATTGCACAATGATTAGTTCAAAGTATTTATTATTTAAATAACAATGATGTATATTTTCTCTAATAATATTTACTCTGAAATTTTGGTTCAAAAAGATATACAGTACAAGCAATCTTTTGGATGACACAGTAATTCAGAAATATTGCAAATAATATCTGGCAGAGTTAATTATTTTTATTAGTAACCCTTAAAGTGCAGTTATTGTTATACAGTACATTGATTCACTGGGGTAATGCAGCCATCATCACATGTTGATTTTAAATATTACTACCTGTTTTTTATACCTATGATGTTAATATGGATACAACAGCCCTATATGGATGTAGTGGAGCTTACCTATCATTCCATTATTGCTTACTATGCAATGCAGTTATCATTGCAAATATTTCTATGCCAATGCAGCAAATATATCATGGTATAAAATGCTATTATATTTAAATGATTTGTATACCCATTATGTCCATATGATTTTCATAACTCAATGTGCTTGTAATGAAGCACACCATAAGAATAGAGGATTTGCAGAAAGCCTATTAGACCATTTACACCCAACATAAGAACAAAGAAAAATTTTAATTACTGTTTGTATGTAATAGATGGGGCACCAACTGTACCCTGTTCTCTCTCCCCAATCCACTCTTCCCCCAATCTTCTCTAATCTCCCCTAATATTACCCCTCTCTTCCCCTCACCTCCAGCTCCCCCCTTTCTTGCCTCCTCTTCTACCCCCTCCCCACCTTTCTTGCTTCCTCTCCTCCCCTCCTTTCTTGCCTCTTCTCCCCCCTCTCCACCTTTCTTGCTTCAAAGTTAATTTACTTCTTGCCTCCTCTCTCTTCCCACTTTCCTTCCCTCTCTTCCACCATCTTCTCCCTCTCTGAAAATGTAATATTTTACTAAACAGTGAAAAAACTGCTAAAAAACTATGGAAAAAAAATCCCTGATTTTGGACTTCATGAAAATCACAGGGGGAGCCATTACAGATACACATATTTCGTAATATTTTCTGCAGGCTTCCTGAGAAACATAAGCCTTGGAACAGAACCAAGGAAACAGGATCAACCCACAAAGCATCCACCAAGGCAAAATTGGTGGCATGAAGGTACTGGTGAAGAGCTACCACTCGGCACAGCACATGATGCACTCAAGGATAAAAGAACTAGCTATAAATAACCGAAGGACACCTCCAGAACAAAGTCGACTCATTCTTCACAAGAAAAGAAGGAGACAGCTGTAAACGAGCATAATGCCCATGAGGGCTACACCTCCGAACAGAATGAGGTTTCGGACCCTCAACTGATAGCAAGCACCAACAGGAATATGGCCTCAGAAAAAATTATGGATTGAAAGTGATAGCACAAGCCATGGGAAAAGAAACAAAGGCAAGCTTGTTATGACGATATTAACAAAGACATGTCAGGAAAGCCAGATACAAAGAGCCGAGGAGCAGGTCATACCAGAGAGAGATGTCACCAGGTCAATCATCTGAAAAAGGTGGAGCCACGAAAAATACCCAAGTTCAAACACTGTGCAAACCGCTCCTGAAACCAAGGCTGAGTGAACCACCAAGGAGCCAGAAGGACCACCTTCCCCTGGTAGGACTCCAACCTGGCAAAGACCCAGAGCAACAGTTCGATGGAGAAAAAGAGGTACAGAAACCCCCCAACCTCTACCAGTCTAGCTAAAAGGCAGCCATCATGAGGGCCACTTGAATGGGGGAACAGATCCACTTAGAACAGGTGTTATTTCCAAGCTGATGCAGAGAGATTCACATCAGGGTGCTCAAACATCTTGCAAAACCATAGGAAGTGGGCAGCATCAACAGTTCACTCTGTAGTAATGAGAGGAATCAAGTAGATGAGCTATCCACAGTGCCCAGCATCAAAGACCAAAAAAAGCTTCCCCTCAGTTCAGATAACGAACCACCAGAGAACAGTCTGAATGAAGCCTGAACACAGAGCCTGAAATCCTTTTTAGGGAATGCCACATGGTTGGAAATTCCTGCACTGTGCTGTGCGCCCAACAAAATGGAGCTGACAGCAACCCTGACAAGCTTGGTGAGTGCTGGTCACGAAGCCCAGCTCAGAGCCAACACATCGATAAAAAAGTTGAGGGATGGCAAAGGAAGGCACCCAAGAACAGCAGTATTATTGCTGTTCCTACTTTCTTAGATGTTCTGCATCTTTGAACAGTCTTAAGCCAAAGGAGTATGACAGCGTGCTGAAATCAATGTTAGGAAAAGCCCTTAACCTTTCTCTCAATGATTCATAGTAGAAATCACAGTAGAAATAAGCCTCCCTTATTGTCAGACTTGGGGGCTTCAGCATTTGCACAACACAAATTGCTGTATAGCATTTCTATCTTTTCCAATGGCATCTGACAGCCTAGTGAAGGAAATCCTACTGGATTACCTAGGTCAACAAGCATGGGTACCAATCCCAGTTTTATACACTGCATCACCAAATGGGTCTCATGGAACCAGCACTCCAACCACCACCATCTCCAGCCTACAAGCAATTCAGCTGGGATGGCCGCACTGTAGACCAAGCAGCTGCAACATGTCTAGAAGCTACAATACCACCACATGACACTGCTTGCTTTACAGCCATAGTAGTGTCCCATACAAGTGACTTCTTATTACACATCGTAACCCCAATGTCAGTAATCAGCACGTGTCTCACACTGCAGGCCCTCCGAATTACAGTGGCTCTGTCTTGCTGCCCCAATCCACACCGAATATAGGTGTATTTGCGGAGAGGCAATGACTGACAGGTACAACCAGTATGGCCTGCTCTGCCAAGCATAGGGGGATGACAATCAAGACACAGTGAAGTCAATGACATAATTAAGAGGAGCCTTACTACAGCTGTTTATCCAGCAGAGGGAGCACCACATTACCTAATGCTCCACAACTCTGATCAGGCTGTTAGTCGCCCAGACGGGAACACAGTTAACCCATGGAAGAACAGTAGACAGATAAGTGTGGGACTACAGATGTATTTCAACCTTGGCTAACACCTATGTGGACTTCGGTGTTGCACATCCAGGTAGTGATGCCACTCACAGGGAAGCAGCTAAGTCTTGTAAATACAGAGATCACCACTACAATTTTGTCTCCATTGCTTCAGAGACACTTGGTGCCTGGGGTAAAAGTGCCGCTAGATTTTTTAAGGATCTGGATTGTAGGCTAACTGAAACAATAAGAGACCCATAGAACAGCCAGCTTCCTCTTCCAATGCTTCAGTATGGCAATAGAGGAGAAATGCACACTGCATCCATGGTTCCTGCCCACCATCTGAGGAGCTAGAGAAACTCGACAATCTGTGATAACTAACCTTGTACCTTGCATGTAACCAATGTTGTAACCATGTAATTAGGGTGGTAGGAGAAGACGATATGTGAAAGTATGTGGGAGCCCCACAAGGCTGCCCAGGATGCCACATTCTCTTCCTCGAGGCAGAGGCTCCCTACAAACACAACCAAAGATGGGTTCCCCAATACATTTTGGATATTACTTACAAAAATCTAGTTATTCAACAAATCCTACAGCGAATGAACTATCGAGTGTAAAAAGGACCGTAGTAACATCTTGGGCAACATTGGAGTCCTCTGCCACATGCCTCTGCATCACAGTAAATCTTGCAGCAGGCACTGACAGACACCAGCTGGGCCTGCCAGCTGGTGAATTGCAAACTTCTGCAGGTCACCAAACTGATAAAGATGTAGATATTTAGTCTATTTCCACATTCTCCCTACATTTTGCATCCAAATTAATCATTCTGTACACAAAAGTACTTTTGGAATTTTAAGATATTTTGAGCATGGGCAGACATGTGTGTATATCCATAGCCACACTTTAGGAGTCAAACATACAATGAGAAATTCATATTTGGAACACACCTGATTCGTAAGTTGGGGGACTTCCTGTATTGTGTATTATTTAAAATATACGCAATAATTATACAAATGAACCTCAACCTTCAGCAGTTTTTTTTATCACAAACTAGGTCTCAATGCAATTCATATTAGACTACTGTGCAGTGTATATGAAATCCTAGATTTATGTCCAGCTTTATGCAGTGAATATAGAAGATTGATATTTTCCCCAATATTTCTGAAGAATTTGATGACAATTATCAAAATGGAATGCTTGTCTTCACTTAAAATATCATAAGTAGCAGTTAATTTTTTTCTTAATAAATGGATCAATCTTTAGTAATTAAAGTGGCATTACTTCAAGATGTTGCCATTCCACTCTTTTGTTACGTAATTATGGAATTCTCAAAGTCCCCACAATTCTATCCCCCCAAAAATGAATACATACTTTTTCTTGAGAGGAATCCTCTAGGAACTTTCTTGTTCTTTCCAGTTCAGCTGTGAGAGCATTCTTCTCCTCTAGGGCATGCATTCTCTCCTTCAAGTGTACTTGCAACCTTTCATTGGACTCTGTAAAAAAAAAACGAGCACATTGTTCAGCAAAACCAGGGCAAAATCAAGACAAACACAAACTAAACTCTATCAACAAAGAACTACAAAACTGTAAAACATAATTATATAAACAAATTTATTTTACATATACTAGGTACATATGTCTTTTTCAGTGTACATCATCAGCATAGGTGCTAGCCTCTGGTATTAACTTCTGGATGATATCAAAGTATATCTGGATGGGGCTCCGAGAGTTCTGCTCCTCAAGTCCGGCCAAGACCATGCATGACCTGTGAGAGCTTGGTCCAACAGGCTGTCGCTTGCATCGGCTTGCAGGCCCATGTAACCACCACAGCCCAGTTGGTCTGACACTTCTTGAAGAAAACTATCCAGTTCTCTCGAAGACATCCACGTTTGTTCCGGCAATATTTTTTATATTCGCCGAGAGGATGCTGAACCTCTGATGTTTATACAGTGGACCTCTGATGTTTACACAGTGCTCTCTGATTGTACCTATAGCACCTATGCTCTTCACTGATTCTATTCTGTATTTCCTTCCATATCGTTCACTCCAGTACGTTGGTATTTTATTGTGTAGATTTGGGACATGGCCCTCCAGTATTTTTCCATGTGTATATTACTTGATATCTCTCTTGTCTCCTTTGTAGGGAGTACATTTGGAGAGCTTTGAGATGATCCCAATAGTTTAGAAGCTTTATCGTGTCTATATATGCTATATAAGTTCTCTGTATTCCCTTTATTTCAGCGAAATGTTCTACAGCTGCAGTCTGATCACACTACCTTCAGTACACTTACTTCTATGGTATGTTTACAGGGGAACTGACTGTTCTCCTGCACACATTATTTAATGACATTCTTAACATATACAAACATGCTTCCAATCGAAGTTGAATATCAGTCCCAAGACAATTAACTGACCTTGCAATAGTTTATCAACAGTGGCTGACAGTCTTGAGTTGTGTTCTTCGTTCATCTTGAGGCGTTGATTTAACCGTAGGAGCTCGGCTCCTTTCTCATCTAGCTGGTTCTCTAAGCGCTGTATGCGGTCCTCTGCACTCCCATGTTTTTCCTGCACCTGTGAAGAAAGGGACCTCTGGGGTGATATGAGAATGGGGGCAGAGAAGGACATTGCTTGTATAATTAATGAATACTGAGAGGAGATATATCATCAACAGTGTAAACTATTTCATTGAAAATGACCAATATTAGTGTTAAGTAATCCGCAAATTTTTAGTAACCAATCATATGTGTAAGACATCAATGACAATGCTTATTTGGTTACACAATAAATTTAATAATATAAATTTAAAACAATTACACTAGCTACTTCACTTATGGTCTCATACCAGTTTAATAATTAAGTCAAGCAATGAAATAAACTAACCATTATAGTTTTGTTTAAATGAATGATAAAAATCAACAATACTTTTTCCACATTGTAAAAAAAAGTTGTGAAAAAACGGTGTGAGATTAGATGGGCCTCCAGAACAGCTGCTTACTAGGTCTGGCACATCCTAAATTAAAATGCAAAATTAAGTAATTTTTATTACAGGCAATAAAATAAATTTATAACATGCTCATCTACCCAAAAACCTTGTTTGTATACATAAAATCAAATAAGATTTGTTTAAACAATGAAATAATTATTAACAACATAATGGAAATTTTTCAAAACTCATATTGTGATTGTTTTGAGGCTTTGTCCCTCTTTCTAGCACATAATTCATTATCTTCATATCTCTAACTATAAAAGAAGGAAAGAAAATAGCCGTACTAAAGATAGCCGCTACACAAGACACGACATCCTGTATAAAAATCTCTCTCACCTGGTGAAGAGCCTCCATTCTCTGCTTCAGCTCTTGCTCTACATCCGGTAACTTGGCGTACTGCGCTAGTTTCTGCTCACTCAGCTCAACCTTTTCTTGTAGTGCTCGAATCTTGTCCTCTTGCAGCTAGATTACGGCAAAGAAAACCAACACGTTATGGACAAGTGAACAACAACTAGCTGAAAACACTGAAGGTATACAATAAAACAGTAATTTATAATATTAATACAATCCATCATATGACTGTAATTAACAAATGATACAATAACTAAACCAATGGGGCAAAGTATAATGACATTATTGCCCAAAAAGATGTTGAGATCTTACGTAATTTCTTCCTACTTTCCCTTTTCTTATGTCAGATTTCCTTTGACTTGCTGCTTTTCTTGTTCTTTTACCCCCCTACCAATGTGACCCATCAATATTCATCTCAACACTTATCTTTCACAGCTATCACTTTTTATAATAAAATGTAACTCAAATTTTTGTTTAAACTCACAACTGTACTTCAGTATCTAATATGTGTCAGATGTTATGTGAGGAACACTGTGTGTGTCAGATACCCTGTGAACGATACCCTGTGTGTGTTATAGGTAATGGTGAATGATACCATATGTGTGTGTTATAGGTAATGGTGAATGATAGCCTGTGTGTGTGTTATAGGTAATGGTGAACGATACCCTGTGTGTGTTACAGGTAATGGTGAACGATACCCTGTGTGTGTTACAGGTAATGGTGAACGATACCCTGTGTGTGTTACAGGTAATGGTGAATGATACCCCTGTGTGTGTTACAGGTAATGGTGAATGATACCCCTGTGTGTGTGTTACAGGTAATGGTGAATGATACCCCTGTGTGTGTGTTACAGGTAATGGTGAATGATACCCCTGTGTGTGTGTTACAGGTAATGGTGAATGATACCCCTGTGTGTGTGTTACAGGTAATGGTGAATGATACCCCTGTGTGTGTTACAGGTAATGATGAATGATACCCCTGTGTGTGTTACAGGTAATGATGAATGATACCCCTGTGTGTGTTACAGGTAATGGTGAATGATACCCCTGTGTGTGTGTGTTACAGGTAATGGTGAAGAATACCATGTGTGTGTGTGTGTGTGTGTGTGTGTGTGTGTGTGTGTGTGTGTGTTACAGGTAATGGTGAGAAATACATTGTGTGTGTTACATTATCAATAGGTCAGTACATCCAAGCCCCAGTACTAATGGGTCAGTGCATATGAGCACTACTACCAATGAGTTCAACCTTCATTTGAGATAAAAAAAAATTCCTACAATCAAAATTCACGTTAATAGTTAATAACAGAGTAACTTACTTTATACTGAGCTTCTTTATTTTTTAATTCTTCTTCTAATTTTTCATTAAGGTCATGTAAGGATGTTGACTCCCTCTGAGCATTTAGGTATCTCTTCTCTAAGGTGGCAATGCGTTCCTCTTGATCCTCTTTTTGGGCGACATTCTCCTGAAAAATACAGGAATACAGCTATTGATAACCGACACTAACAGGGACCAATAAAACAAAGAACCTGAGGATACAGGATCTGCAAATAATAAGATATATGAAGGAAATCAATAAATTTATCATCATTAAGAATTAAGTCTCCTTCAAGCAAAGTAATACTGTACTGTGTCCTCTACAAATTTGATTTTAAATATTTCATTTTGGCATAACTGATTTTGCAACTGCTCGGTGAAAATAAATGTTAGCAGCTAAAAGTTTGAGATCATACAGCATATTGAAATGAATAAGTTTGGGTGAATTTAAATTGCAGCTGCCATGTATAGGCAAACAGGCCCTCTGCAGTTTCCTTTATTCTTATTTGTATGTTCCCATGAATAAAAAAATATAATCAGGGGGCAACCTTGAGGTCTCTCTGGAGGCGTGCATTGATCTCCTGGGCTTTGACTAGCTCCTTTTGAGTGACCTGCAGGTCCTCCTCCATCTCCTGCAACCGATTCTGAAGGTCTCGCACTCGCTCCCTTGCTGCATTCAGTTCTGCTGTCTGATAGTTAAGGCAAAATTGTTAGAATAAAAAATGGTTTAGTAGCCTACATTCATATATATTAAATACAAGATGCATACATACATACATACATGTGTGTTCTTTAGTATTTCTCAAACCATGAACACAAGTGATTTTGAAATTTGCAGGCAGAGGATATGCTCATTTTACAATGAGCATATCCTCATATAATGAGCATATAACGAGCACAATTTCCTTTAATGCAATCCACTGATGACAGTTTTCTTAACAGAAATATCCATAGATCTCTTCTCTTTCTGAATTGCTTAGCATCTTTTCATATAATTTATCAGTCGAGTGTTTTTTTTTTCCTATTACATATTTCATTACATTTATCCACGCTGAATTACATCTACCAAAATGTTCGGTAATATGTTTATTTGTTTGTGATGTGTCTATATGTATGTATAAAGACATTGTACTTAACGGGGTGGGAATAGCTTGAGCTACTTCATCCCTTTGTGTGTATTTTACCTCAATAAACTTATTTCAATTTCAATTCAATTTCAATCTACCATGTGTTTCTTCATTCACTTATTTTGTCTATGTCATTTTGAAGAGCATGCCAGCCTTGTAGGTCTTATTTTTCCAAGTTGCTTAGCATTACCTATGAATATATTCATGCAACTCAATTCCATCCAGTAGATGATATCTTACGGTGTTGACCAAACCACACACTAGAAGATGTAGAGAAGATGACGTTTTGGTCCGTCCTGGACCATTATCAAGTCGATTGTGATGAGACAAGGGAGGCACGGGCATAAGCAAGACAAGAGAGAGGCAAGGAGGAGGACATCTTAGAGGAAGGTACGACCAAGGCGAAAGGTATGTAAAGGATAGGTGTAATTATAGGAGTAAGAATGGGAACGAAAGAAAAAGGATGGGTAGGTTTATGTTAGATCACGTTTGTTAGAAAGTTTAGAACATTTGAGTATGTACCAAGGGAGGAGTCAACAGCAACAAAGCCAGGACTAAAGTTCATGTTGAGTAGGTTGTGTATCAGAACCAATTCAACAAGATGGCATCTGTGAAGAGTAGAGGCAGAAAAGATTATTTTAGAAGAAGACCAATTAGTAGGATGATTAGAATCCTTAACATGAGACAAGAGAACGTTGTTTGTGTCTGCAGACTTAAGGAGCACAAAAGAAGTGTTAAGTCTGTCATTTATTGTATGGCCAGATTCCCCAAAGTATTGGAGAGGACAATACTAACAGGAAATAAGAGTAGACACCAGCAGCATTAGAAGAAGTAGTGTGAACCAGATTAGTTCGAAGAGTGTTAGTTTGTCGAAAGGTGAGCTTTATGTCAAGAGGACGAAGGGTATTAGTAAAAGCTTTGAGTTCAGATATGAAAGGAAGGCAGAGCACAGTGCTAGTAGTGTTGGAAGTGGGTTTAGGATGAAATAAATTTTGTTTAGCTTGAGAATAGGCACAGTTGATAAAATGTAAAGGGTAACCAAAGCGAGAGAAAGATTTGTAAATAAAGAAAATGATTTCAGAATCAAGAAACTGAGGGTCATTGATGCGTAGAGCGTGGAGGAAGAGAGAGAGAGACAAGGACACTTTTCTTAACAGGAGGAGGAGGATGGTAGGAAAAGAAGTGAATGTACATACCAATATGTATGGGGGTATCATCTACATATCTTAAAGTAATAAACATTACTAGCACTAGCACCAAGCCACACAGGTACTCTGCTAGGAGGAGGTGCATAGAGAGAGATAGCTTACTGCCCAGTAGTCCCTGATAAGTAAGCATCGCTTTTAATCATTGCTCCCACTTTTCTGTTGGTTAGGAAATGGTTCAGTCATAACAGTAACCTGCCTGTACCCCCCCCCCTCCTGTACATTCTAGCCTCCAGAACAGTCAATTTTGGTCTCTCAAATGTTTTGACTAATTACTATTTCCCTATCCATGTACATGTATTTATTTGTAGGTTTATGTGAAATTGCCCAATTGCAATTACACAATGATGGCTAAGCTCATGGTGTTCCACATTACATATGTTCAATGTCATTAGTATTCACAGCCACCATTAGTAGTTGCTGACACTACTTTCTCATCTCTCTACCACTATACTGTATGTATTTATAAAATTAAAAATACAAATTTTAGTTTAGAAATAGAGTACAGTGGTGAAAAGCGATGAGAATTTTGCATTAGCTTTTACAATTTATCTGTGCACATGTTAAAATTATAATAACTAGTGTAGTGACTTCAGTACCCCTACAACACAGCGGAGTTCAGGGAAAACGGGAGAGGAACGGAAGAGAGGCAACCGACCAGCGGTAGAACAACAAGTGGACGAAAACGAGATCACACACACACTCACACCCACCATGGGTTTATACAGTTATAGAATGTGTGTGTTTGGATCAGAGACTTGTATTTAACCCTTGTCTGGTGGATATTAGGGTACTTAACTAGTAACAAACTTCTTGCATTGCAATTGCTATGAATTACAATATATTATTATACATTGGAGGCAAGTCATTTTGTCAATAATTAAACATTAATAATTTTCAATACTGAATATTTAACAGTAGAGGAGCAGCTGTTGATGATTTTAGTCTACAAGTCTTGTTTAATCACACACACACACATGTACAGTAAATATATATTGTACTATACTGCATAATATAAATAAATAATCACACACCTCATACATACAATACACACACACACACACACGTGCTATATGTAGAGTTGGGGAGGAAGAGGAGAAGGGTAGAGAGAGGAAGGAAGGAGGAGGAGAGCAGAGGGAGGAAAAGGAAGAGGGTAGAGGAGGAGGAGAGTAGAGGAGGAGGAGAAGGGGAGGAGGAGGAGGAAGATATGAGTAGAGGGGGGGGACGAGAAGAGGAGGAGGAAGAAAAGAAGGGTAGGGGGTGAGGAAGAAAAGGAAGGGTAAGGGAGGAGGAGGAGGAACAAAAGGAAGGTAGGAGAGGAGGAGGAAAAGGATTGTAAGGGAGGAGGAGGAAGAAGAGAGTAGAGGAGGAATAGAAGAGGGGGAGGAAACAGGGGAGGAGCTTGCTTGCTCCTTTACAAGCTTGCAAGGAAAAATACTTTTAACCCTTAAAGTGACGTTATCATACCTTGATCCCCAGGTAATGCAGTCATCGTATGATGATTTTACTTATTACACAGTTTGTATTCAAATGATGTAAATATGGTTATAATACATCTATATGGATGTAATGGAGTTAATGTAGTTGCATGAAACGACTAGCATTGAATGTAATGAAATGCCATTTTCTGGGTGAGACCCAGAGGCTCCCTGGAGCTATACTGAGCTGATGTGTATATATTAGACCGTAACAACAGTCAATTGATGGTGTTCTTAGCCTACCGGGGACCGGTTGGATAGCCAGTGCAGGAGGTCTGGGGCTCCCCCGCTGCACAGACAGTGGCGCGGCAGCTGTGGTGACGTCATGCTTGTTTGCTTGTTTTCTGATTGGGGAGTTCTGCCTGCTCGTTCGGTTTTGGTTTGCAATTTTTAACTAGCTGTAGTTTGTTTTGGGATTCTTACCTTTCTGGGTGCCTGACCTGGTAGATGGCAGACAGACTGCTTCCAACCACACTGGAGTGTCTATATACGCACTGCTCCTTGTGCCTCTCTGAAGAGGGCCAGGTTCTGGCTCGTGGTCCCCAGTAGACTAAGAACTCCAACTGACTGTTGCCACAGTCTAATACATATACACATCAGCCCGGTATAGCTCCAGGGAACCAAAGGGGCTCTCCACAGAAAATTCTGCTAGCATACTTAATTGAAGGATTATTGTACATTAACTCCATAAAAATCTATACATAAAAAAATTTTTACTCCATAAAAATCAAATGTATCTCTCTCAACCAGAATTACTTTACCAAACATTTAAAAATATTCAAATCCGAGATTACAGTAAGTCCCTGATAAGTACCTAATAGATTTCTAGTAGGACAGACATAAATCTGTGTATTTATGTATGTAGGTTGGATTAGCATTTTAAAAGCACTACAATCACCTTCTGTGGTTGATTGTTAAATAAATCGCTGAACTACTGTATATATTTAACAGATCTCTAACCCTGTCCATGGAGGACGGAAGAAAATGTATATATGCTGGTTAGCATTATAAATGTGTAGCCACATCTTTGGTAGAAAAACAAAATCGTAATTTTCATTTGCTTGTACAAAAGAATGAGATATTTTATCGCAAAATATGAATACATATTTCAGTTTAAGATTGAGGTAGTCAAACCAAGTGAAGGAGACAATTTCTACTATATTCTCTCTTTCTTCAAGCCCGGGACTCCCACCAAACATTCAGTCTCATACCATTTGTCACATTCTATTCTAATAGCAATATTTACTTGATTAATATATTATACCCATAGAAAATTTGTCCTTTTATTTTAATACCAACAAATTTTTAATTTAATTTTACTTGCACCAATTTCTAGACAAGTACACCAAATAACATTCTTCTACAAGCGCAAATTTTCTCAGCACTAATGTAATACATATTAATTTAGCATGCCATGTATTCATCCTTTCTTTTTCCCTTAATAATAGCCATATTATATAAAATATGGAGGGTATTAAAGACCACTGTATTTATACTAGTGGCCTTTAATATACTTAGTTTATGAATATATACTTAGTTTATAATATACTTTAATATACTTATACTATACTTAGTATGTATTTATACTATATAAAATGCAGCACTAAGAAAATGCAAACTCAATCTCAAACAATAATATAATCAATACCGCCTTCTAAATACAAGGTACATAACTATCCTACCTCTTTTTTATGTGTCCAAAAGGTAACTTGGTAAACAACTCCAATGAAACCTAATCAACCAGGCTGTGACTCGTACATCAGACTGCAGGCAGCAACTTCAAACAGCCTGATTAACCAGATCATCAACCAAAAGACCTGGTTAGAGACCAGACCATGGGGAACACTGATCCTTCCAAGATAACTTCCCACTAGATTAC